GCTGGACAGTTTCAGCAGCGGCTGAATCTGGATGCCAGTTCCGACTTACATACAGATTCAACTTAAGAACAAACCTACATTCCCTATTTTGTACGTAACCCGGGGACTGCCTGTACTAGGAAAATAGGATCTCAGAGTCCACAGTGCATAAACTGTGGCCCTGCAGTACTGACCTTTAAATCACAACCAATTAAGGCTCCATCAGGCAGTTTCAGCAGCGGCTGAATCTGGATGCCAGTTCCGACTTACATACAGATTCAACTTAAGAACAAACCTACATTCCCTATTTTGTACGTAACCCGGGGACTGCCTGTACTAGGAAAATAGGATCTCAGAGTCCACAGTGCATAAACTGTGGCCCTGCAGTACTGACCTTTAAATCACAACCAATTAAGGCTCCATCAGGAGTGTTATTATCCAAGCCATCTCACTGGCCTCTATATCTCACAGGTCTCTATACCCTAGACATCTTATGTTGACGAGTTAAACCTGATTGTCAGGTTCTTGGTAATGATCAAATATTACTGGTAAAATAGCATTGGAATGAGGGTGGATTTTTTTTTCTTAGAATGGAAGTTGTTAGCTGTTCTGATTGCGAGCATAAGATGCTTGCACACTATTAACACAGAAATGGTTACTTCAAAAAAAGTTAACACCAGCAAAGTTTGGAGGGCTCAGAGTTGGGGTTCATCTAACTGAACAGCTAGGGGAGAGCCAGCTGGGTGGAAAAGCTACCTGGCGTTACTCTGCTGCATACTGAGGCTACGTCTACACTGTGGGTTTTTGCGTAAGAGGAAATGCAAATGGAGCACTCATTTACATATCTTGTGCTCTCATTTGCATATCTTCTTCCAATCCTTATTGCAGAGGAGGTTTTTGCAATAAAAAGCCCCGTGTAGATGGGACCATTTGTCGGGGAAAAAAACCCTTTTGCGTAAGAGCCCTTGTTCTCTCTCCTTCTGAGTTGCCCACCACATATTCCTTTGGTTTCTTCTACGTCCATCTGTCCTAGACAACTACCCCACATGGAAGGTTTCATGCCTTTTCTGATGTCCAGTGCTTCTTGCAAGCTCGGCGCCCTCGGTTCTCATAACACTCAACACCACTCTTTGATTATTCTTATGTATCCAATAATTTGTGATTTTACGGGTTCTCCTTTAAATACAGTGAAGTCACTGCAAATGGTTTGGTACTGTCAGCAAACAAAATGATGTAGGAAACTAAGTGGCACTCGCATTGCTTTTTTGCCATGTTCATTGTCACTAAGTTTGGTGCAATTGATGTTTTTATGGAGGGGTTCCCTTCTTTTAGGAGAAAATTTATTCCTAAATAGCTTTGCCTGTTTGAAGAAAGAACATAAAAAACATTAGGAGGAAAAAACATTTTATACCCCCAAAAAGGCATCACGTTCTTTGTAAACCTAGCGTTTTTCAAGATTATTGCACTTAAAAGTGTAATTTACATCACTCTGCAATCAAAATGTGAGTAATAAGGTGGAGGAAATCAGCAGGTTTCCCCAGAAAGAAATTTCTGTGCTGCTATATTCTCATTAAATGATTTTTGTTTCTACTAAAACTCCATTAGTGGCTAACACCCCAAAGCACAGTCGTCTTTTTGTGTCTTATGGGAGATGGGTAGTCAGTGTACAACACACAATCTAGAGAGGTACCACCATGTCCAGCTGACATAAAAAACACTGCCTCATGATTCTTTAATTGGACTCCTTTTGTAGTTCTATAATTACTGTCTATTCTGTAGGCTTTGCAGTACACCCACGAATTAGGAACTATACAGATGTCACTTTGTACTTCTGGGTACAAACATCTCTCCATGCAAGCAACTGAAGACTGATACTAATATACTGGGAATTACTGGGCATGATTACAGTGACACACCAGCTACATGGTACTTGAATTATAGCTAGAAGAACAAAGCCACTGTCCTGCAAGACTCATCTCCACGTTGGAGAAAAAAAGCTATGAGTTATTTTTAAGGCCAAAAGCCATCATTATGGTCACACAGTCTGATCTCCTGGATAACATAAGCCAGAAAACTTCACCCGGTAATCTCTGCATCAAACCTACAGCATCTGCTTGAGTTATAAGCATATCTTTTAAAAAGACATCCAGTCTTGACATAAAGACCAGGAGAGTCCATCGTGTTCCTAAGTCAGTTGCACTAATAGTTGATTATCCTCAATTTTGAATTTTGAAATTTGCAGTTGAGGTTTGTTGTGGATTTTTCCAGCTTCAATCTACTGCCTTTTACTGCTAAAAAAAAAAAAAAAAGGAGCTGTCTACTATGAGAAATCTCTTCCCCCTGTAGGTACTGGTAAGACGTGATCAAGTATCTTTTAACCTTCTCTTGAATAAAGTAGATTACGCTTCAGTCTGCTGTTGTAAGACTTTGAATTGTATCTGTAGTTCTTTACAGAATCATTTCCATTTATCAGCGTATTTTTTGAAGTAGGAACACCAGCACTGGATACAGTATTCCAGTAATGGTCTCACTAATGCCATATGAAGGTTGTACCATCTCTGTATTCCCCCTTGATAGTCCTCTGTTCATGCAAGAAGGTGTTTGCACATTAGCTCCAGCACTGCAGTGGAAGTTCATGTTCCATGGATTATATGCTGCAACCTCTCAGTCCTCCTCAGTGTCACTGCACACCAGGATTCAGTCCCTCATCTTGTAAATGTGTTCTTAGACGTACAACCTCACATTCTGCCGTTTCAAATACATGGTCTGGGCTGGCTGAGCAGGGTAGCTGGCTGTCCTAAGCACTAACTTCCCAGAGCCACTTGACTTTTTTTCCCCATTCTCCACTCTTTGGCTGACCTCTTTGTTTTGTTTTCTCTGCCGCTTTTGGAGAGGGAGTTGTTGAAATTGGTTGGCAAAATGCCTAGGGCTGCTGCTTCACATGTTGCCCAAAACAGCCCATCTTTTCAAGCAATTCTGCTTGGTCTTTATTACTTACTTGTTCCCAGGATTAATTTTGCTTGGTCTTTATTACTTGTTCCCAGGATTAATTACCATGCCAACAAGTTTTGCGTTATCTGCATATTTCACTAGCAGAGACTTAATGTTTTCTTCAGATCGTTGCTAAAATATTGAATAGCAAGGGGCCTGTGAAAGTCCACTAGAAAGAGCCCCTCCTTTTTCCTGTAAGAATAGTGGAGGCAAGCAAATGAACTAGATTTAGGATGATGCTTGATAGGTTTATTAACATGATTACTTGCTGGTGTTTTCTGCGCTATTAGGGGACTGGATTCACTAACCTAGAAGGTCCTTTCCAGTCCTATGGCTTATATTCAGGTGGATAATGATTCCCCAGTCACACTTTTTGTGATCTGTCAGTTAATCAGTTTTCAATCTCTCTACTGTGGGCTACATTGGTGTGGTATAGTACCTACTCTTTTGTCAGAGTGCTATGTCAGAAATCACCTCTACGACCCAAACTTTGTAATCTCTTCAAAGAAACAGCATCAAGATTGTTTGGCATGGCCTATATTCCATCAAACCATGTTGTCTGGCTTTAATTAAACTACCACTTTTTAATTCTTTACTAGTTGTATACCCTATTAGCCCTTCTGTGATTTTGCTTGAGATTGATATCTGGCTAACCAGTCTATGTACCCAGGTCATCTCCCTCTCCTTAAATAGTGACACAACGTTGGCTTTTTTCCATTCCTCTTAAACTTCCCATTTTCCCTGACATGGTTGTGATGGTTTCTTGGTGTGTCCAGGATTCTGAGCCACCTCATTATCAGATTTTTCTGGTGCTAAGCTGACACCCTCACTCTTTTAGCCACTTAGAGTCTCCTTGGAGCTCTGCCAGCCCCTTACTTTACCCTGCAAGGTAATGGTTACTGTATTTCAGTCCCTGAGTGCCTCTTCTGAAGTGTCCAGCCCACTGGACACTTAGGGTGCGTCTAGACTGGAATGATTTTGCACAAGTACTTTTAACGGAAAAGTTTGCTTTTGCGCAAAAGCGTCCGTGCCAGTGTAGACGCTCTTTTGCACAAGAAAACT